GGGCCGCTGCTGTGGCGCCTCCCTCGGGCCGCCGTTGTGCCGCCTTTCACGGGCCGCAGCTGCAGCACCTCCCCTTGTGTCGACAGCTGTACCAGTTTACGCAGCGGACGTTCGTGGGCCGTGCGGAGCTGGCTGAGCAGATCCGCCTGCCGGCCGAGGACGTGCTGGACCTGCTGCAGCAGGTGGCAGAGCTGATGCCAGGCCGCGGATGGAGGATGCGGCTGAAGCCGGACCCGCACCACGAGCGCAGGTCAGTGCGCCGCCGCCCGCGGCGTGCACCCCGCCGGTCACGAGGTCCACCGCCGCCTCGGGCAGCTCGCCTCCGCCCGGGGCGCGCCCGCTGCCGGGCACAGGGTCACCGCCGCCTCGGGCAGCTCGCCTCCGCCCGGGGCGTGCACCCCGCCGGTCACGAGGTCACCGCCCGCCTCGGGCAGCTCGCCTCCGCCGGGGCGTGCACCCCGCCGGTCACGAGGTCACCGCCGCCTCGGGCAGCTCGCCTCCGCCCGGGGCGCGCCCGCTGCCGGGCACAGGGTCACCGCCGCCTCGGGCAGCGCCTGCTGTGTGCTGCGGCCGGCGCTTGCACACGTGGAAACGGCGGTGGGATCTGAGCCACGATTGGTGCTGTGAAACTGTACTTAGGCTGCGTGTACCGCGGTGCTAGCGCTAAAGGAGCAGCCGCGGGTGGGGGGAAGTTAAACTTTGGCTGCCGCCGCAGCCTCTCATGGTGAGTCATGTCTTGGAGAGGGGCGTTTGGCTCACCAAGCTCTCCATAGCCCTGTTCTTCAGATGTGAAGACCGGCGTGGTGCCAGGCCGGGCAGCGCTGTGTCTGTGTCTGGTCGCTGTATCTCTGTGGCCGCTGTGTCTGTCTGTGGCTGCTGTGTCTGTCTGTGGCCGCTGTGCCTGTCTGTGGTCGCCGTGTCTGTCTGTGGCCGCTGTGTCTGTCTCTGGCCGCCGTGTCTGTCTGTGGCCGCTGTGTCTGTCTGTGACCGCTGCGTCTGTGTGCGACTGCTGCGTCTGTCTGTGGCCGCCGTGTCTGTCTGTGGCCGCTGTGTCTGTCTGTTGCCGCTCTGTCTGTCTGCGGCCGCTGAGGCTCGGCCTGACCCCGCCCCTCCGTCGCAGCTTCCCGGACGTGGTGCAGCGCCAGCAGATGCTCTGGGAGGCGAAGCACCAGCAGCTGATGAAGGCGTTCCGGGAGAGTGTGAGTCAGGTTCCCCCCACCGGCACTGCTGTCGCGGCTTAGGCGACGTAATGTCGGCTTCATAACCAGGCATTTCGTGGCTGTTGCGACTCGCTCACCGCTCGTTGCGTGGGTACAGCAGGTGTCTAAGATGCGCGGCATCCTAAACACCGGTCGAGTACATCGGGACGATGGATGCGTAGCTGACTCGCGTTTTCAAAACCCGCGGTGGTGGGGTTGAGTTGCCTTTCCAAATGTACGGGAACCTGATGTAGTGTTTTTCGCTTAACTGCGCGCACTACCCTGACACGCCGAACCCTGCTTCAGCTGTGCGTGACGCGTGTTCAGTATGGTAGCGTTCCGCTTCGTGCTCCCTTGGCTTGCTTCTGGACGCGATACACCTCATGTGCCCATCCAAGCCTGCACGGGCAAAGCCGTGTCTGTCGTCAAAGCTCTGCCGATACCCACCCAAGCCCCAGCTCCCCGCGTTATATTTGCTGGATGTTGTAGTCCGTTTTGAGTTCAGCTGGGCGCCGCCCTGTGCTGACGCGGTGGGTGGTGTTGGCAGGGTCGGACCGAGGGCGCCGGGCCAGCCAAGCCGCGCCGCCGCCGCCAGCGCTCGCAGCGAGACTCCTTCAGCGCCTCGTCAGACAACGAGTCGAGCGGTGAGGCCGGCTCGCGCAAACAGAGGCGCAACTCGGGCGTGAAGGTGAAAACGGAGCCGGCCGAGGCCAAGAGCTAGCGGCGGCACGGTGGGAGGAGTGGGAGGGAGGGGGGGGGGGCCTGGGGTGGTCTGAGCTGACCGGAGCGGGGGGCGGGAGATCAGGAGCTGGCGAGAAGGGGTGGAAAATAGACGGAAGAAGTGAAGAAATGGACTATCGAATAAACTGAGATGCGGACACGTGAAGTGGTCATGCCGGACATGTCCGAGAGAACTGCGATCTGCCCAATGGGAGGCCTGAAGAGGAGGCCAACATCTGACGATGTGGCAGAGCGTGGGAGGTTGGAAACTGGCCCAAACCTGAGTACGGTCTGCCTGACCCGCTGGCGAGAGCTGATCCCACAGGCGTCTCCGGTAAGTCTGCACGGAGAGAGTGGCGACTCGAGCGTCTCCTAGTGTCCCGGCTGGTGACCCGTTTTCTGAGTCTGGGATGTGGTCATCCGCTTCTGAGTAGGATGTGATGACCCGCCCCTGTGCCTGGGGTGTGGTGGCCAATTGCTGAGTCTGCGATGTGGTAACCCGCTTCTGAGTCTTGGGTGTGGTGACCCGCTCCGAGTCTGGGATGTGGTGACCCACTCCTCACTGGGATGTGTCGACCCGTTCCCGAGGCCGGCGGGTCGGTGCACCAGCGCAGCACCTCTGACACTGTGACCTCTCGGTGTCCCTCCGCGTCCATGGGCTGAGGGTCGGCGGCGGCAGGGTCGTGACCGAACAGGCCCCTGGGGCGGCGGCCGGCGCGGGGTAGGACTCACTCAGCGGGCGGCGAGGGGGGGCTGACGGGGACCACGCCGGGAAGGACGCCGAACGCGAGGCGAGACCCGCCAATGGTGTGGACCAGGACATGGGACACCTGCCGCTCCCGGTGCTCGGAGGCGAGGGCCCGCCGCTCTGGTTGTGCAGTGTTCACGGGGACACCGCGTGCAGCAGGACCAGCTTGTGGAGACGAGACCATTTTGTTTGCATTCTTGCGGACGCCCACTGGGTGTGCTTGATATACTCGGAATTGATGACGCACATGTGTAATGGTAGATGCTTGTGGCGTACGCGTGTGGGCCAGGGGCTGTCAGTGCGCACCACCCGCCTCCTCCGTCTTCGCCCGCCGGTGAACACGCTGCTGTACAAACACGCTGTATTCTATGACTAGAAACACTCCCAGACGGCGGGGTGCGGCGAGTGGCCGAGCCGCGCTGCTGGAGCGGCCACCCCACCACGGGCCCGACCCCGGGCTTGACCCCGCACATGACCGGCGGCCACACGTCACACGTCACGTGACAGGAGCACGACAGAGCGGGCGACATGACGCGACAGATCGGCACTGACCGCGCGACACCTCCGAGACAGTTCACGACGGGTTGTGACAGATCATAACATACCAAAGCGTGTCACGTAGTGGGCTACGATGGGTCATGTAACAGTTCGTGACCCGCGGCAGACCACGCAGACCGGTGCTTGATCAGACCACCCCAATTCTGCATTGCGGGCCCGTCCACAGAGCGCGGGCACGGGAATATACGACGCAACGTCGATTCGGTTCAGATCCACGATACGGCTGAGGTTCGGTTCGGATCCGGTTCGGATCCTGTTTGGGACGCGGGTGTTGTGGTGGGCTCTGCTGTCTCCACTCCTCGCTCTCTCCACTCTGCTCTCTCCACCCTTTGCTAACACAGAGGAACTCGTTACTGCTGAAATGCAACTAAACGGAATGGACACATTACGTACTGAGCACGTGAACAGGCTGCAGCGTGGCTTTTCGTTTCGGAGCGCTGGCTAGCAGAGCAAGCTCAAAGTTTGACAGAGGATAGCCCTGCCCCGCGATGGCACTGGGCCCAGCTATCCAGCTTCTCAACTGAGGAAGGCGGGTCACCGGGCGACATCGCTCGTGATGAGAGTTGTCACGTGGGTTGACTGGCGACGTGGCACATGATTGGTGGATTCGGACACCGTCGACGCCTGGTGGCTTGAGCTTCTGATTCAAGCCACCCGATTGGCCACGTTCGATGACATCGCCACGTGATTGGCCAGACTCGGCGTCATGTAGCGACAGGTGTGTCTGACCAGACCGGCCGACCCGACGAGTTGTCTGACGCAGCCTCAAACATGTGCGCGCCGTTTTGACGAAACCTCTCGGCACTTTTACAGGGCTCATTGCGCCGGGTCCTCGTCCCGGTCCCCCCCCCCCCCCCCCCCTCCCTGACCCTTCCCCACGCGCAGCCGGATCGGCGGGCCCTCGAGCCTGCGCATGACTCCTCTCCTCCGGCCGAGAAGCGTGGGCTGAGCCGAGCCGAGCCGAGCCAAGCCGAGCCAAGCCGAGCCGAGCCGAGCCGAGCCGAGCCGAGCCGAGCCGAGCCGAGCCGAGCCGAGCCGAGCCGAGCCGAGCCGAGCCGAGCCGAGCCGAGCCGAGCCGAGCCGAGCCGAGCCGAGCCGAGCCGAGCCGAGCCGAGCCGAGCCGAGCCGAGCCGAGCCGAGCCGAGCCGGCCGGCCGGGCCGAGCTGGGCTGGGCCGGGCCGGGCCGGGCCGGTGCCTCGGTTAGTGTGGCAGGGCGTACCGCCGCTGACTCCACTGGCAGTATTATCTTTGGTATACACAAATGCACGGGCAACGCTACGACGACTCCCGCACTTCTAACGGGTGAGCATCAAGTAAGGTATTTGATCGGGAAAAGGAACAAACGGCTGAAACCCATTCCACGTTTGCCAACAAATATCGCACGACAAAGACCGCAACACAGCATTTTTGGAAATTTGCATCTATCGACGGACAAAGAACAGTTATCCACGCAATAGCAGCCTGCCCATCCCAAACGCGAGAAAATGCGCCAGCCCGGCGGCGCAAGAGGCGTGTCTACAGCTACCTGCGCAACATCACGGCGCGACCCGCGCGCAAAACGCGCCCGGAATATCAGTCTTAAATGCAACGACGCTCCAAACCCCGTGTCCCGAGATTCTGTCCCGAATACCCAGCAATATCACATCTAGTGCGGGTGAGAAGAACTCACCCACCACGCCCCCAGATCATCAGCACTCCGCTCCGTACCCACGGCTGTCACAATGCTACCAGATCACACAGGTTCCATCGCACCTACACTGTTCATTGCATTTCTCCACGACCGCAAATTTATTTCGGCTTCTTCCTGGGGCTGGCGAAAGGCTGCCGTCCGGGCAGCCTCCACCATCCACAGTTATATCATTCAGAAGGCGCTCTTCACACGTAAGGCGCTCTTCACACGTACCCTCCGTGCTCTGTCGTCGGAAGGACGTTGAAGAGGACAGCGAACAGGGTGCAGGCGAGGTACACCCCCAGCGCCACCCACCACATCAGCTGCTCGTGCAGCTTCTGTGCGAAGTTTCTGAGGACGACCACGCCGAGCGACAGGCCCGCCACCGCGCCGGCCAGATGCGCAGCATAGCTTACGGCCGGATCCACGGATGGCACGACCGTGGCATAGCGGTGGTACACAGCGAATCCGACGTCGCAGCCCGCGATTAGCAACACGATTATCAGGCGCATGATGCCGAACTCCATGTGGTTGTAATTCTGAAAAGAACAGAATCAAGGTTAACAAATGCAGCCAGGCTAAAGGGCGCACCACTGAGGCGCCTTAACCTTTGTCCTCAAGGATATGGACTATGGACAAACTGGACTGTTTCCGCAACTGGGCTTTTGCCTGTGAAATCCGTATATCCTAAATAAACAAATAAACGGATATGCGGCCCACCTGTCATGCAGGCCTTGCATGAGGCGACAGTGGCTAAAGTACGGTTACAGCTTCCGCCCTCCTGGTGTGAATACACACCATGCAGGAACGCTAACGTCGCACTTCACACTCAGACGGAATGAAGGCTTCGGTGGAAAACGAGCTTCGACGGACGTTTTCACGCCGGGACATACGTGAAAATTATTCACATGTGATTCGGAGGAAACTCATCCCATCCATTAACCCCCCCCCCCTCCCCAAAACTCCCAGCAGCTCCTGTGGCATCAAGAGGCGCAAATTCGGTAGTTTCTTGCATCGTCTTACCAGCAGAACATTCGCGATGTGTGCAGTGAGGAGCGCGTAGACACCGCCGGAGGCGCCTACTAGGTACACCTGGCGGCTGGTGTCACAGACAGAAGTTCCGAGACTGCCCGCCAGGACACCGGCCAGGTAGACGGTGAGGACGCGGGCCGAGCCGTGCACCATCTCCAGCGGCAGGCCCACCACCAGCTGCACCAGGAGGTTGAAGATCAGGTGCCACCAGCTGCGGACAGGGCGAAATGCCAGATTCCAGCACTCCACCGTTCCCAGCTGCGCATGGGGGTAGGGAGAGTGTCGCGCGCCTGCGGAGAGAACAGGCGATACACCAGACAGCACAGCGGTGAGCACGTCAGCGTGAGCCAGCCGTCATTGGCACTCAACAGCCCACGCCCAACGGAGTCGCCTCAAACATTAAACCCAGTGCCTTTCAATCGCCGACGCGCCTACGTTCGGCTGCAGGGAGGCGGCGGCCGTTTCGCCCGCTAGGACGCCGCGCGCCGTCATGGAGGTGACAGAGGTCCGCCACCAGCCGCCCTCCACGCGCGGACGGTCTTTCACTATCCACACCCGCACTCGGCCAGCATGGCACTAACCACGCTCCTGACGCTGCTCGCTTTAAGGTTGCGTCATGCCGGACACCGCCCGCCCTCTGAGCACGTTATGCCGGACACTGTCCGCTTTCTGAGCACGTTATGCCGGACACTGTCCGCTTTCTGAGCACGTTATACCGGACACCGCCCGCCCTCTGAGCACGCTATGCCGGACACCGCCCGCCCTTTGAGCATGTTATACCGGACACTGCCCACCCTCTGAGCACGTTATACCGGACATCGCCCGCGCTTTGAGCACGTTATACCGGACACTGCCCACCCTCTGAGTACGCTATGCCGGACACCGCCCGCCCTCTGAGCACGCTATGCCGGACACCGCCCGCCCTCTGAGTACGCTGTGCCGGACACCGCCCGCCCTCTGAGCACGTTATACCGGACATCGCCCGCGCTTTGAGCACGTTATACCGGACACTGCCCACCCTCTGAGTACGCTATGCCGGACACCGCCCGCCCTCTGAGCACGCTATGCCGGACACTACTCGCCCTTTGAGCACGTTATACCGAACACTGCCCGCTTTCTGAGCACGCTATGCCGTACACTGCCCGCCCTCCGAGTACGCCTTGCCGGACACCGCCCGCCCTCTGAGCACGCTGTGCCCGCTCTCAGCAAGCGCACCGCCTCTGTACCTACTCAGTCTCTGAGACAGTTCGGCGTCCCCCACTCCGCCGTCTGACAAAGATAAAGCGAAAGGGCCTCCAGGCTGCTACAACCCGCTTCGACCCCGGTGAGGCCAGAACGAATGATAACAGCGTTGGGCTGTTCCACCAGTGACGAGAGTGAGCCTTACTAACCGGCCCGGTCCTTAAGCGCCTGCTGCCAGTGCTCGTCTGGCCTAATCCTAAGGGTACGGTCTGAAACACGTACGCCCACCCACAGACCCGGCGCCATGCTGCCTATTCCCCTCCCCCCACACACTGCATACTGGCTTTGGAGGGGGCGGGGGGGGGGGCGGGGTGTATGCCCATCAACAACTGGACTACTCTCAAGGGCTGGGGCATCATCAGCATCCGCAGTGCATGCGAGGATGACGTAATGCCGTGTAGGAGTGATTATGGTGCCGTGAGATTTAGCTATAAAGCAACCAGGGCCGTTTAGATTACGATGAAGAACTAAGTGATCGGGAGCTTTGGAAATACTTTTTGATCAATGGCGCTTAACACAGTTATCTAAGATTTGGAGGCGAGAGGATCCGTACTGGATCTCTGAAGGATGCGCGCCCGCAACGTCCGTAGCTCTGCGAAACGCCCGTAACTCTGCGCAACGCCCGGGGCTCTGCGCAGCGCACGGCCAAAGGCTGCGCGCGGCGGTTGTGACCGGCCAGAAGCCGACGGAGCGCCAGTGCGGCCCGCCTGACGTGGCCGTGAGGTGAGGGCTCACCTTGCATGCAGCACCATGTACGTGACGAACCTCCACAGCTGCCAGCGGCGATCGGGCCGGTACAGCAGCACCGAGTCGAGCGGCACCACCCCCATCGAGGTCAAGGGGGTGGCTGGGGTCAAGCGCGGGGTCGTGGCGCTCGTGGCACCACCGGCCGGGTGTAGTAGATGAAGAAGCCGAGCTGCAACGGCAAAATCGACTCAGACACATTGGTTCGCTGAGGCACAGATTAGTAACCGACTACATAACATCCATGATAAAGCTCGCAAAAAACACACAGGTCATGGATGCTCTTTACCACATTCTCTCACGGCAGACAAACGGGGTATTGCTTAGATGAAACAGCTTGTACCTCTTGAAGTTGAAGGGAAATGAACAAGCTTAACATTGCTGATAATTTTTATACACAGCCTAAAAGTTAACCTCATGTTCTGTTTTGTTCATGATCCATTTTCATGTTCAAATTGTCAGTGCCTGTGGGGTGCACGTACCATCTGCATACAAAAAGGCTACATTATGCGGTACTTCATAGCCGGAAATAGAAGAAAAAATATGAAGTCAGAGAATGTAGCCGATGTTTTATGAATAATGTGTGTGTGGTACCTTCTGGTGTATTGAAGGTTGGTTGCTGTCAACATAAACTCTCTAAGCCCAAAATGCCCAAACCAGGAGCTTACGGTCTTTCTTAATTCAATCCAACATTAAATTGTGTCTTCGTGTCCCAAAAGTAATCGGAAGCACGTTCAAATTTGCGGTAAGCTTTTCACTACAGCGTCAATTGACCCCCATGTTAATTTTAGAATCACTGGGATCGTTCTGTTTTAATATGTAGCATTGAGCATGCATTGCTTTGCTACGCCCCCTGGTTGCATGTATTACCGATGAATTCGGTTCATGGATGAATAAAAAAGCATAGTCCATTGCTTAAGTCTGTACTCAAAACGCATGACTGATGATGGTGTTTTCTTTCTTCAGCCTCAGCTTTTGCAAGCTGCGACGTGATGCATAGACGCAACTTAACTTAAGACCAACGCGGTATAGCGTGATGGTAAGTAAGGTCACCGCGGTCAAAATTCCAGGATGTCTGTTGTTTTGGTCAGAAATGTATTCGCTCTGGAGGGCTTCGCACTTTGTTCTACACTCTGGTGGGGGCAGTATGTGTCACCAGCCGCGTCCACACCCCAAAGGTTCTAGTTGGGCTGATGCCGTTAGTTCTTGGGGACGACCCATCGCTGGAGACGGACTCTGAAACCGATGACTGCCATTCTGGTAATTGCCAAACTGATGACTGCCTCTCCCCGCCACTCCGAGGTCCCAATGCCTCGATGTTTGTTCACGCCGGCGGGTGAAGATAGTATGCAGCTGTCGCGCGTAATATGGCATAGCATAATTGCAGTGACTTTCATGGCGAAGAGGCGTGATAGTTGAGAATGGACCGGCCGGTTAGACAGATAATTAAGGTTGGACCAACTGGGTCTTCATCTTTGCCACACCAAAGAAGAAACCGGTTGACATATTTTGACTAAATCGAATTAGTCACGTAGTAGGCGTATCGATCCCCCCCCCCCCCCTCCCCCAAGACATCGCAAATATTTGCAACGAACAAAGAAGTTCCATCCTACAACTGGAAACTGGATAACTGGATATCTGGATAACTGGATAACGGTGACCTTTGCTTCCAGGATGACATTCTTCATTTCTTGAGCCGCAGCGACGGGTGTTAAGAAACAGGCCCCAAAACATTCATACAAAAACGCCCTTCTCCCTTGGAGAGGCAGACTTCTGACGAGTGCTGCGGATAGCAGACAGCTCGGTCAGTGAGCAGTCCAAAGCTTTGTTCGCGTGACCAGTGCACTGCTATTGATTTGGCTGTTACGATCCACTGTGGTGCCAGTTTAGACTGCTATGTTTGGCGCGTGCCTTTAAAGCCCATGCTTTTTTGTAGTCCTCAGACTGCTTTGTGGAGCGGGCTTTTGAAGTCACAATAGGTTCAACAGGGGTGTTTCTGTTGCATGAGACAAATGACGAGTAAACCGAGCCAAAAATAGTGCATGTCCTAGGGGCACATGGAGACTGGAAACAACATTACCGTTGCATGCCTAATTTGTGCGGCCATTATTAGCATGTGTAATTAATGGCTGCAATGTCGTTTCGATAGCTCGTTTGGCTACGGCATGTGCCTTCCGATCCACCAGCACGTGGCGAGGTGGCTCCGAGTCGTTTATGCGCTCTCTGTTTGCCACTGGATGGAACGGCCTGCGTCGGCGGCACGGGTCCGCTACAGGTCAGGTGACGTCAGAGGGCGGGACGACCTGTGCCGAGCACTGCAGCGCGTTGAGCGTTCGACGCCAAATTCCGCCGTTGATCTGAAATTTCGCGGCCGGATGGCGGCGTCAGTGCTCACGTAGCCGTCACTGCCTTGAGTGGGGTCTGAGCACAGATATGGATATCCATTCAAAAGGATCGGACAAAAGACATTTGGAAAGCGGTCCTTACATTGGGAGCGTCATAGCCGTGGCCATCAAATAATCCCAAAGAAAGGTGGCTTTGCGTGATGCTGAATTTTTCCCCGGTTTTGTGAGATGTCTGAAAATAGAAAATTGTGGGCCAAAACCAGCTTGGGGAGGGGGAAATCACCCATGGGCGGGCCAGGGCCCTCACAAAGCATTACAAACTGATACGCTGCTAGTGCGGTCAAGCCCGTTCCCAGCTCGGGGCATAAGCGCCGGGTTTTCCGCCATGCCGCCAGCGTCAGCCTGTTCGCAGAGGCGAAGTGGATGCTTCGAGTCCATTCGATAGCCAATCATTTTCGTCTTAAATTGGGCGCACCGCAAACGGCTGGAGCGTCTCCAAGGCTCCCTGACGAAGGCCAGAGTCGGCCCGCTCGAGTCACGACTCTCCGACGCGTTCGCTGGCCACAGTAGGGCCAGGCCAGCATCGCTAAGCTGGGCGGCACGGAACGCCCTCGATAGACGGCTTGGTGAGATGGCAAACGGGGTGGAAGGCCTTGGGCCACATTTAATTGTTCTTACCAAATCCTTTTTCGTGACAAACTGAGGCAAAAATTAAGGAGAGAGCCCATCTCCTGCCAGGAGTCAGCCGTGACTTTTGCAACACCTCAGTCACCACCGGCAGATCCGCGTGCATTGTCTAATATCGTCACGGAGCAGGCTTGGAGATGGCGACGGTTGAGGTGACTACGACGTTACCCTCCTGAGAAAGCGTGTTGTGTT